GTAATATTACTTTGACCAAAATGAACTTGTTTGAAATTGTACTATTCCCTGTGTTCACTAGAGAATAATTAAACATATATTTCCCTGTTTGCGTTTTATTGCATAACATATCCTTAGAAAAAGAAGATAAAATACAATAGAAAATGAGGAATAAAGATATTATATGAAAATGGTATTGAGTTGAGCAATGTTAAATACTACTGATCATGTGCTTTTTAATTTTTATTTTCAATTTAATGGTTCTTATTTGATGTGAGATTCCCCTCTGTATGCTGTGAATATCAGTGGTTAATAAAGAAACTGCTTTGAGCCTGTAGCAGAGCTATGGGGGAACAGAACTAGGCAGAGAAAACTAAACTGAATGCTGGCAGAAAGAAGGGCAGAGTAAAGAGAAGCCAGGTAGCCTGCACCAGAGACAGATGCCAGATAGAACTTTGCTAGTAAGCCACTGCCATGTGGCGATACACAGATTAATGGAGATGCGTTAAATTAATATCTAAGAGTTAGCCAATAAGACGCTAGAGCTAATGGGCCAAGCAGTGATTTAAATAATATGGTTTCTTTGTGATTATTTCGGGGTTCTGAGCAAAATGACAGTTTCCTAAGTTCATAAACAGTATCAATTTTTTAAAAGGAAGGTAAAGTGCTGTGCTAAAATGATTACCTCTGCTACACTTATATTAATCATGTTATTATGAATTATATATTTAAGAATAAAGATTTGATCATAACATCATTTTTGATTAATAGATGTTTAGTCATAAGGATTTAATTTCTCTATATACCAAATTTTCTAAGACCTTTTCAAAGACACCAATCTTTGGGAATTAAAGGGTATTGTATTGGGGAGTAGCTACTTTCATATACTCATTAACAGAATGTGACCTTTTTAGTCAGTAATACAGAACTCTATCAATCATAATTTTAAATCATTTTCAGTAAAAACTTATTTGTTACAGTCAAATCATTTCTTCTTCAGTCATTAATATCTTTCAAACAGCAACAAAAAACCACTATTATATGTAGACTCAAAATAAAGCTCAGAAAGGAAGGAGATCACTTTTAATAACTTAATTCTCATAATTGTAAACAATTTGTCATTTTGACTCACTCAGATTCTCAATGTAGCAAGAAAAGATATATGCCTAATATATTCAAATAGACTTCTGTTTTCATATGACATCTAATATTAAGTTAAAATTTCTGTGACTGAAAAAGCATGGGATAAAACTGGACTCTCTGAACATAGCGAAAAATGAGGGCTGATGAGATGCAAAGGACAATGGCACGGGGTTTTGATCCTGCTTAATGTGCTGCCTTTGTGGGAGCCTAGCCAGTTTGGATGTTCACCTTCCTAGATATGGATAGAGGGGGGAGGACCTAGGACTTACCACAGGGCAGGGAACCCTGACTGCTCTTTGGACTGGAGAGGGAGGGGAAAAGGAGTGGGGGGAGGGGGAGAAGGGTGGGAGGAGGGGGAGAAGGGTGGGAGGATGGGGAGGGAAATGGGAGGCTGGGAGGAGGTGGAAACTTGTTTTTTTTTCTCCTTTTCTCAATAAAAAAAATTCTGGCATGTGGGTTCTAGCTAGGCTTTAATTTTCAATGTATTTATATATAGGGTGCGCATTTCACACCTATCTTAAAATTCCAAAATAAATCTATGTTATCTCTTTCTATATATTTATTGTGAGATGATTCTTTTTGTGATAATTAATTAAAAATATTTGTGATGATATAAAATTCAAGTCCCTGAATTTTGGTGTGCGTACTCTTAAATGATAAACTCCAGTTTATGCTAATTAGGTTTAGGAAGACTTTAAGTTGCTCAATACAAATTATTTATAATATTTTAAATCCCAGGAGAACTTTATAAAATCCAATCTTATATGTATAAAATTTTCAGTAGATAATAGATAATCTTTTCAGAAAATAGTCAAGGAGTCTCACTACCCATTTTTGTTTCCTTTCTTTAGGAAACTACATAATCCTACAAATAGTTTGGCAAACATTTTTTTTTAACTATGTACATGTTCTTGTTCAAAACTTTTAAGATTAAAATTACAGCTTTATTAGGTGGCTGCCATAAATTATACTTACATAAGCAATATAATAGAGTAAGTGTTTATGAATTCAAAGTGCATGGATGAAAGACAGGAATAATTTCCTTGATCAAATCAGTACTTCTTATTTTGCTGCATGTGTGCTTCTTAATTTACAATTAAAGGTCAGAACAGTTTATGCTGCTTCATTGTAAAGGATCCTATCCTCAAATTTTCATAGTTTGAATAGGTAGGTTAGATTACATACCTATGTTGTTATAAAATGTATAAATAGTCTTGGTGTGACCAATAATAAATGTACTCAATATAAGTCATATCCTAGGAATTTATGCTCTAGAAACATTGATGGACTAGTGTTAAGTTTCATTCCGTGTTTTCAATAGTAAAAACAATGACAAAATATAATTTTCTATATGTGGTGGAGTGGGATAAAGTTTCAAAATTTAATATTTGGTGATTTGGTTATTATATTGGTGATGAAAAACAAGTTTAGCTAATACTTTATCAGGTTTTGTCTTTCAGTTATTAATTTAGGAAGAATTGAAATAAACAAAATAGTTCATTGGTCAATGGAAAACCTCATGAACTTTATTATGGGCATCCAGTTGACTTGGAATCATTTAAAATATATTTGATATTTAAATATCTCTTGTTAAATATATTGCTATGGCTGATACTATAATATATTTAAAGATACATCTAAGAAGAAGGGATGTTAGCAGATTTTGACAGCCTGAAAAATGAAGAAGAGTGAAGTAGATTTTCAGCTCAATCACTACCAACATAGTTCTATGTGGTAGAAAACCTTTTAGATCAAGTCAGTGAATTCTGATGGACATTAAGAACTAACACAAAATAAAGCATGAGTTGTTTGGAGATTTCCATACCACACCTCTAGCTAACAACACGATTAAATGTAACCCATTCTCATTACTACAATCTTCATTAGATGGTGAGAGACATCCATCTGGGGTTCTGTCTTACACATTATTTGATGATTTACATATGTAAATATTACAGGAAACTTCTACTGCATTAGGTTTCCATATGATTGATTCCTCAAATTTCCCTTAATTTTTAACTGCCCTCACGACTATCCATTCCTATCCTGTATCCTATTCCCTTCTTGTTTGACCCTACCATTCCAGGCTATTGCCAAGGTTATTGATGGCTTTTATAAAGTGAAGGTAAGGCCCTATTGTGGAAGACAACACTTATACAGTTCATTAAACATACAGAAGTCAAGCTGGTGCCCACCTAGAGCTTTCACTCCTGTGGACCAGTATTTATGGTACTGGAAGGTATGTTTTACTCTGTCAAAGGAGAACAGTAAATACCAACCCAGTTACAAAACTCTCCATCAACAAGAATTACATAGTTGAAAATAATTCTGGTGCATTAACAGCACAAAGCATGCATGTAACCTCGAAATATCTGCTTTGTGTTAAGAACCACTCCATGAGATGGAACCCTTACCCAACACTGCCTGATTGGCCAAGAACCTGAGAACAGATAGCCCATGAACCTAAAGGAAAACTAAATGCTATTGTTATATTAAAGCAGCAAAACAATAAAATGACTCCAAACTACATTCTGCTATACTTAGATCAGTTTGCGTCCATGACATTATTAGAGAAGTTTCTTCCATCAGCAATTAGGAACAAATACAGAGACCCAGAGTCAGTAAATGTGCAGAGCAAGAGATCTTGGAAAAATTTAACCATAAAGAAATGTCTCAATCAAATGTTTCCCTTTAGGGTTCAGAGAACTCTGTTAAAGCAGCAACAGAAAAATGTGGGCTGGAGGACAGCAAGGAATAAAGGCCTTCTAGACACAATAGGGATGGAACATGGTAACATGCACAGGGCCCACACATTTCTTTACTAGAAGAGATCCTAGAACTGAAAGAAGTAGACAAACTCACCAACCACTAACCCAAAAGCTATCTCCAATTGATAGCCAATTGCAAATGAAATAGTTTTCTCCAAGGAAGTTTCATTGGGGAAGCAAACCACTCATAATGATAGGTCTATGCCCAGTAGTATATGGCTAACACAGAACAAAAGGACATGTTTGGTGGTTCTTTCTTTCATAATGTTAAGTCAGTGTAATTTGTCCCCTATCTTACAGGTCTATTGCTTATATATTATAGGTTCCAGTTTTAGTTTTTTGTGGGATTTCTGAGTATGCGTATGTCTCTGTATTTCTACGCATTTCTTATGCTTTTTGCCTGTTTTTATTTGTCACATTTTATTATTTATTTATTTTGTTTTAAATCATATTTTTTATTATTTTAAGCAATCTTTAACTATAAAATACTTTGGTAGGATTCTTCCCCTCCCCATGTCCTCCCAAATTTTCTTTCCCTTTCTAATAATCCAACTTTTAGTTTTTTCTCAACAAACAAAAACCCAGTGCAACATCAACCCTCCACAAAACAAGAAAGCAAAATAAAACTAAGTCCCTCCAAAATAAATTATAATCAAATAAATATATACAAAACAAATCTGTCTTCCATTATGTGTTGGTCAACTACTCATGAACATGAGGCCTGTTCTGAAGTAGTTAAAATACCAGTGTCACTGTCCTGGAGAAAACTGATTTCTCATTTTCCTAGCAGGTATAAGTGACAGTTCAATTCTTAAGCTTAACCTTAGTGGCTAGGTATTCATTCATTCATTCATTTTGCTATCTATCCATTCTTGTATAAAAATATTCCTTAGATGTCTGGTTTTTTTTCTAACTAGAGACCGAAAGACTGTGAATGCAGATGGGAGAGGAGCGGAGGAAGAATTTGGATGAGTAGGGGAAGGGGAAACAACTATCAGAATATATAACATGAGAACTACAAAAATCTATTTCAAATGAAGCAAAAAGAAAGAAATAAGAAAAACCACAAAGGGGCATACCGACCGACGGGAGGGCTGGACGGCTGTCAAGATGGCGCAGACTCTGGACACCAAGAGGAAAGTCTGTTCTTACTACGATGGTGATGTTGGAAACTACTGTTATGGACAAGGCCACCCGATGAAGCCTCACCGAATCTGGATGACTCACAATTTACTGCTCAACTATGGTCTCTACCGATAAATGGAAATCTATCTTCCTCACAAAGCCAATGCTGAGGAGATGACCAAGGACTATAGTGATGACTACATAAAATTTTTGCGTTCCATTCGCCCAGATAGCATGTCTGAGTACAGCAAGCAGATGCAGAGATTCAACGTTGGTGAGGACTGTCCTGTATTTGATGGCTTGTTTGAGTTCTGTCAGCTGTCTACTCGTGGCTCTGTGGCAAGTGCTGTGAAATTTAATAAGCAGCAGACAGACATCGCTGTGAACTGGGCTGGGGGTCTGCATCATGCAAAGAAGTCTGAAGCATCTGGTTTCTGTTACGTCAATGATATCCTCTTGGCCATCCTGGAACTGCTAAAGTATCACCAGTGGGTGCTGTATATTGACATTGATATTCACCATGGCGATGGTGTGGAAGAGGCCTTCTATTCCACAGATCGGGTCATGACCGTGTCCTTTCATAAATATGGAGAATACTTCCCAGGAACTGGGGACCTACGGGATATCGGGGCTGGCAAAGGCAAGTACTACGCTGTTAACTGCCCCCTCCGAGATGGGATCGATGACGAGTCCTATGAAGCCATTTTCAAGCCAGTCATGTCCAAAGTAATGGAGATGTTCCAGCCGAGTGCAGTGATCTTACAGTGTGGATCAGATTCCCTATCTGGGGATCGGTTAGGTTGCTTCAATCTGACCATCAAAGGGCATGCCAAATGTGTGGAGTTTGTCAAGAGTTTCAACTTGCCTATGCTGATGCTGGGAGGAGGTGGATATGTCATCCGGAATGTTGCTCAGTGCTGGACTTATGAAACAGCTGTGGCCCTGGACACAGAAATCCCTAATGAACTGCCATACAATGACTATTTTGAATACTTTGGACCGGACTTCAAACTTCACATCAGTCCTTCCAATATGACTAACCAGAACACTAATGAATACCTGGAGAAGATCAAGCAGAGGATCTTAAAGAACTTGAGAATGCTGCCCCATGCGCCTGGCGTCCAAATGCAGGCAATCCCTGAGGATGTCATTCCAGAGGAGAGTGGTGATGAGGATGAAGAAGACCCTGGCAAACGCATCTCCATCTGCTCCTCTGACAAACGGATTGCCTGTGAGGAAGAATTTTCTGATTCAGATGAGGAGGGAGAAGGTGGTCGCAAGAACTCTTCTAATTTCAAAAAAGCCAAAAGAGTCAAAACAGAGGATGAAAAAGAAAAAGATCCAGAAGAGAAAAAGGAAGTCACAGAAGAGGAAAAAACCAAGGAGGAGAAGCCAGAAGCCAAAGGGGTCAAAGAAGAGGTCAAGTTAGCCTGAGCAAGATCTGCAACTCTGGCAGCTTCCCAATTTCTCAGATTTTATATTTTCTATTCCTCTGTGTATTTATATAAAATATATTAAATATAATGTCTCCAAGGACTAGATAGGAACCAGGGACCAGATCTGTTCTGTTTATACCCTTCCCACCAGACTCAGGCAAGCAGAAAAACGCCCACTGCCCTGTCTCCCCCAACTCTGCAGGTGGAGGTGTTAGCCTAGCTTCCTTTTTGAGATATTTTCATTTTGTGAGACTCTTTGTAATAAAACAGCACATTTCTATACAAAAAAAAAAGAAAAAGAAAAACCACAAAGCATAAAATGTGAAGTCTGCAAGCTGGGGCTCTATTTCATAACAGTGCAACATTAATGTAATTGTGACACTAATTTGTAGTGTTTCAAGTATCTTGGACAAATGAAAAAAGAAAATTATTTCCAATTGTATTATATTAACTAGACATTCTTTCAATAACCCTATTAAAATTGTGCGGGGAACTTTTTGCCAGGCTTGAAGTTTGCACTTGAAAGTGTCTTTTAATTATTTTCTACATTGCTAGGAATAAACCAAATTGGCAGTTAAAGATATTAAAATTTAATTTAAGAAGTAAGTAAAAGAGTGTCTAAAAATATGTTTTGAAAGATTATTGTCAAACAATGTGATAGAATGAAGTGTTCAGGGAAGTAGAAATATATATTCAGTCATTGTTCATCATAGTGAAGCATATATAATTTTTTTCATGGAGTCTAATAAAAAGTTCAATAGATTTAATAGTTTATGGTGGGGATCATTTCACTTTCTCTTTTTTCTTGAGAAAAACATTTTATTGTAATGAATACTAATCAGGATATAATTATGAAGCTCAGTTTTTTAAGAGAAGAAATAATTTCATAGGACTTGGATTTTCTTTCATTTGAACAATTTTATTTGGATTATGAAATACAGCCAAACAAATAGGAATGGGATTTATTGAGCACAATCTACCATAAATTGACATATCAGTATGAAATACCTGTCTTTAAAATGACTGAAAATATGAAAAATATCATTGAAATGAATATATGTGATACTTATTAAGGTAAGATTTGTTAAAAGTTTTATACCTTCTATTTCTCTAACTTATTGTAGTAGTAGCATATTTTTTTCCTGTTATTGACCTCCTACACCAGGAAATATTTTGCCAGTATTATGATAAACTATGCATAAAACTAAGAAGGCTGCTGTGCAACATAAATCACAATTTCTCATGGAGAAAAATGAATTGTAGATCCAAAATGTAGGGTTATAAAAACTACTATCAACAAGTAAATGTCAGGAAAATATAAATTATTTTCACTGAGCATGGTAACAAGTGCAAATAAAAGAACTGCAATAAATAACTAGTTATAATAAATTTGTTGCAATAAAACAATTCATTGAAAGGTTGTAGTAAAATATTCTAAGTAAAATTTATAATTTAATATTAATGTTTAATTGCTACTTTGTTAATAAGTCACATGATTTGTCATCACTTATAATATAGAGAGAATGGAATCTGATATTTATAACTTTATGTTGATATTGTTCAACTGAAAAGAGAATATCCTGAATTTTTAAGTTATGTAAATATTTGCGGTCTCCAATATATTCCTGTACATTCTACTTAACAGAACCTTATGTTTAATAATACTTAAGAGTAACAGCAGTGCTTCAAAAATAAGAGCTTCCAGAACATTCTTTTCTTATATTTTGTGGGAACTGAGATAGTATAATCGTGTTTTAACTTCATTATATTACTTACTAACTTTGTTGATTTACATCATTATTAAAATCAGTTATCTACTAGTGGTAAAAACAGGAGTTTTCAATCTTATAATTATCATTAAAAAATCACTAGCAGCTATAAAAATATACACGTTCAGGTGTATAACAAACTACAACAAAATAAGACAGGCAAGAGATTATTTGAGAAATATTTTCAACGCTAGTTACTCAAAGAGTACTTTGTTTTGAGTTATACAAATTTCTTCCTGAAAAATTCATTTCCTTGAACATATTTTAACATTTAATGTATAGCTAATGAGAGCTTATTCACTAGACCATATAAGACTGTGGTTCTCAGTGTTGCCCAGATTTTGGAATGATTCTAAGTGTATTCAAATTTTTCCACAGTCAGTTATTAGATACTTTCTTTATGATACTCAGTTTCAACACTTGGAAAATAAAATATTCCATGATAAGATTAAATTTAAACAATATCTATCTCCAAATCTAGCACTACAGAAGGTGCTGAAGGAAAAATATAATCTACAGATGTTACCCACACACATGAATAAACAGAAAATATGTAATCTCACACAAACAAATTCAAAATAAGGAAATCACACACACACCCCCACACACACACACAAAACCATGACCATCAGCAACAGCACCACTGGCACCACTATCAGCATAACCAAAGTAACAGATCAACCATCATTGGTCACTGATATTTCTCAATATTAGTGGCCTCAATTTACCAGTTTAAAAAAAAACAACACAGACAAACAGAATGGAAGGATAAACAGCATCTATCCTTCTCCTTCATCAAAGAAACAAACCTCAACATAAACGATAGAAAGTACCTCATGGTAAGTAATTGAAAAAAAGATATTCCAAGCAAATAGATTTGAGAAGAAGCAAGCTGGTGTTGCTATTTTAATATCTAAAAAAATTGGACTTTAAACCAAAACTAATCAAAAGAGATAGGGAAGGACTCTGCATACTCATCAAAGAAAAAATTCGCCAGTATTACGTATCAATTCTTAATATTTATGCCTCAAACACAAGGCCACAAACTTTTCTAAAAGTAAAACTACAACAGCTTAAATCACATATTAACCCTCACAACCTGTGTGAGGGAGACTTCAGTATTCCACTCTCAGTAATGGAATATCATTCAGAAAAAAAAATAAACAGAGAAATACTGGAACAAACAGACATTATGACTCAAATGAGCCTAACAAATATTTACAGAACATTTCATCCACCACAAATGAATATATGTTCTTCTTTGTACCTCATAGAACTTCCTACCAGTTTCAGCAATATACAGTTTCACTGCAATCTCCATCAAAATTTCAACACAATTCTTTACAGAGTTTGAAAGGACACTTCCCAAGTTCACATGAAAAAAAAAACAAAACAAAAAAAAAACACTGCCCACCTTCATTCAGGCAAATGCTGAGTCAGCCCAGGGGCCCTTCAATTGTACATTATTACATCAAGTATTGCATGGCAACATCATGCATTGCATAAATGTTTATGGCTCTGGGTGCATGAGTAAGCGCTTGCTTTTAAGTACTGCCTGTCCCACCTGTTCAGCCCTTTACTCCCTTCTCTCAGTCGACGGCCACAACCTCCTCTTACCTCTGCCTTTTCCTAATAAATTTCCAAGTGGGTTTGTTGAGATCTGTGGTTCATTCTTTAATGACACAGCTACTGCCAAACAACAACAGCTATAGTAATAAAAAACACAAAATATTAGCATAAAAACAGATATGTTGATCCCTGGAATAGAGTTGAAGATATAAACATAAATCCACACACCTATGTAACCTGACTTTTTATGTATTTTGATGTGAAAAAAGTACACACTGAGGGAAAAAAAAAGTATCTTCAGCAAATGCTGCTGATCAAATATTATATCTACATGGAAAAGAATGCAAATAGATCCGTATTTATCACCCTGTACAAAACTCAAGTCTTATTTGACCCAAGCCCTCAACATAAAGCTGCATACACTGAACCTTTTAGAAAAGAAAGTGTGGAATAGCTTTGCATGCATTGGCACAGGAGAAAACTTTCTGTCCAAAATATTAATAGAGCAATCACTAAGATCCACAATTAATAAATGGTATCCCAAGAAACTGATAAGCTTCTGTAAGGTAAAGTACACTGTCAATTGGACAAGGAGTCAGCCTATAAAATGGAAAAGATATTTTTTCCAACTCCACATCTTACAGATTAGTAATATCCAGAATATATAACGAACTTAAGAAACTGGTTATCAAAAGAACCCAAAAATCAAATTTAAGAATTGAGTAAAAATCTAGTCAGAGAATTCTCAATAGAGTAATCACAAGTGGCTGAGAAACACTCAAAGAAATATTCAACATTCTTACATACCAAGTAAAGGAAAAATATTACTACTTTGAGATTCCATCTTAAATCTCTAAGAATCACTAAATCAATAATACAAGTGGCATCTCATGCTGGAGAAGATGTGGGGCAAGGGGAACATTGCTTCATTATTGATGGGAATGAAAACTTGTACAGCCATTGTAGAAATCAATATAGCATCTCCTCAGATAATTGAGAATTGATCTACTTCAAGTCCCAGCTGAAACACTCTTGGGCATATGCCCAAAGGACCTTCCATCCTACCACAAGGGCACTTGCTCATCTATGCCATTGTAGCTTTATCCATAACTATCAGAAACTGGAAATAACCTAGATGCCCCTCAATATAAGAACAGATTTTAAAATATGGTACATTTACACAACAGAGTAGTCACAGGCAAAAACAAAATTGGGGTATATATTGACAAATGAGAAAGCAACCTACCCGAGGAGGCATCAAATTTTCCATTGAGAATAGAAGCTGAGTTAGCCTTAAGTAATTAGATAAATAGTTGATTTCTCAGGAATATTTGGGCCTTAGGTTAGAAAATTAGGTTTGAATATTTACTGCTACTAATAGAAAACAATGGTTAGAAATAATTAATAAACTTGCTCTTGCTAAGGAAGTTTTAGCAACCTCTAGACCTCAAGAACCAGTACAATAAAAACAGTGTTAGGCATAATTGATATTTCAACAGCTACACATATTGTAACAGTTAGCAAACATGTATGCATGACAAGTACTGCTAATTTCCTAATCATAATTCACTTTTCGTTCTCCCTAATTTAAGTAACTATTATTTCTTCAGGATCAATACAGGACAGAGAGCCACAATACAATATTTACTAAGTTTTTTTCACATGTAGGACTATCAGTATAATAATGAGATATAATTTGTTGTTTTGGCACTGGGTTTTGATCCCACTGCATGTACTGGCTTTGTGGGAGCCTAGCCTGTTTGGATGCTCACCT